CCTCGGTTGTCCGCTACACCGGGAGTTTGGTCCCTGGTGCTGATGCCGACTGTGGCCGGGGTGGGGGGCGGGGGGCAGGGTGAGGAGCTTCGGTCATGGGGACACACAGAGGCTGCCGCAGTCACACTGGCGTCGGTCCCACAAAGGGGCCGAGCCGCCACCCCCGGCTGCCCCAGGCTGCCGGTCCGCAGCAGAGGAGGGGGCAGTTGGGAGGGCAGGGCCACAGGCAGCTGTTTGTGAGTGTTGAACAAGTGAGCGCAAGGCTGTGCCTTCCCCTGACCTCCCCCTGGGGTTACTGTGAGTGTGAGTTAATAATGCAAGTGGTAGCAGACAATTAGCGGACTTGATGCTACTTGGTTCCACCCCTGTGAGGTGGCTAAGCCTGGCATTTCCCCTCCCTCCCTTGCCCCATGTTTCAGATGAGGAAATGGAGACTCCCAGAGCTTCCGTGTCCTGCTCAAAGTCCCCCCTTATTGGCTGAGGGTGGGCTGGAGCCCTGGCATCTTGAGGGTGGAGTCAGGCCAGACACAGGGCCTTGGTGACCTACAGGCTCTGAACTCTCCCCTGAGTGAATAGGGGTTAGCGAGGACACTGGCCTCTGTTTCTCCTCAATCTGTCAGGCTGGCTCTGTTTTTCCCTTGTTCCTGGGATGAAAGTAAAGAATGACACAGAGGCTTAGGAAAAATCTCAGACAGGCTGGGTCTCAAGATCTGGGGAGATAAGGGGGTTTCCCAGTACCCCCAGCCCCCCTCCCAGCATTCTGGGCTCCAGGGGTTGTCTGTTTATCTCCTGCCCCTCCACACACTGCTTCTAGGGCATCACTAATATTCCAGTGGTCTGAGCTCAGTTGCTGCAAGGGAGTATGGGAAATGTGGTCCAGCTGTGCCCAGAAGGAGAGGGAACTGGACTGCTGAAGAGCCTCTGCTGTGTCATTGTCACCTGAAATCATCTCCTTCCTTCATGTACAAGAATGATGCACGGAATGAGAAAGCTTCCCTTTCTCCCCCGCCAGATTGCAAGCGCCCTGAAGACAGGGATCTTGTTCACTGCACATATCCAGCCCCTAGAACGTAGCGAGTGCTCAATAAATATGGGTGAATGAAGAGCTAAAGCTCGGCCCCTCTTTTCAAGGAGGGAAATGCGAATTCCGGACTCGGACGAGGGAATTGAGAGGAGATGAGTCCTGCTGGTCAGGGAAAGTTACACACTCCTGCCTCACTACTCAACCCAAAACTTAGTGGCTTAAAACAGCAACAGTCATTTCGTTTGCTTTCAATCATGTAACTTGGGAAGGGTTCGGCAGGTATACCTATCTCAGCTCCACACAGTGTCAAGTGGGGCTCAAGGATCCCCTTCCGAGGTGGCCTCTCTCAGCTCCCGCTGGCTGTTGGTTTCACAAGGGCCTCTCCGCAGAACTGCTTGGGCGTCCTTGCTGCGTGGTGACTGGGTTCCAAGAATGAGTCCACCAAGAGACAGGAAGTAGAAGCAGCCTGTCTTTTTTAAGATGCGGGCCCAGAAACTGGCATTTCATCACGTCTTCCAAATTTTCCTGGTTAAGAAGTCACAGGCAGATCCAAGATTCAAGGGGCTTTTGATGGGAGGAGCATCGGAGTTTGGGCGGTATGCTTTAGAACCATCACAAAAGGCTTCCTGGAGAAGAGAAATGAGGAACTACAAACCCTGAGGCTTGGATGGCACCTGCAAGCTCTGCCATATGAGCAGAGCAGCCTCCGTGTACCCCAGCAGAGTGGAGGCCTCGTCTGGCTACCCGAAAAAGCCTCCAGGCTGTCAGACTCTCTTCTCCAAAAGTGGCCACAGCAACCCCTCCATTCTCAATGAGCTTCTCTAAACACTCACTCTTAGAACCCAGGTGCCTTCGTGCAAGGAAGCCCAGACCAAGTGAGGAAGCCACCTGTGTGTGTGCCGGCTGACAGGCCCAGCTAAGGTCTCAGCATCCACTGTCAGAAATCTAAGCGGCCCCCTTCAGAGAATTCCAGCCTCCAGCCTCCATCTTCCATCTGAGACCCCAGATGTGTTCTATCTGCATTTCTGACCCATAGGACCCATGAGCAGGTTAAGTGGTGGTTTTATGCCACCAAGTTCTGGGTACTTCAAAATGCAGCCATAGTTATGGGCCCAGTGGGCAAAGTGAAATACAACACTAGGACCTCCAGAAAGCAGTTCCAGGGCCAAGTGGGGCCTGGTGGAGCCTCACCAGAGACACCTGGCCCCTGAAGGCGACACTCACCATGGGTAGGTTGGAGAGCAGCGAGAGGTGTTTCGGACAGAGGGAACAGCGTGGGTGGCGCTTCGAGCTAGGAAAGGGACTAGCAGGAGGGAGCCCGGTGGGGCTGGAGCACAGCCCTGTGGGGAGTGGTCCAGGGAACAGCTCCCTGTCTTGAGGGCCCAGAGGACGCTGGGTTAGGCCTGCTTCCTGATACGGCGGTGAGATGGATAGTGACGCCACAGGCCGGGCCCAAGTCGGGGTGAGGTCTCCGCTGTGCTGGGCAGTGGGGAAGAGGCCCAGACCGAGCTGTGGGATGGACGAGGATGGGAGGCTGTGGAGGGACAGTGGCATCTGGACAGCAGGGTGAATGTGGGACCAGGGCCAGAAGCTGAGGGGGCAGGCGCTGGGGACACCCGTACTGAGGGCCAAGGACGTCGTTGGCAGGGCTGTGGAAGATGCTGTCCTCTTTACGGCAGGGCCTTTTCTGGCTGTCCCTCCTCTGGGGGAGCCCATGGGGAGGTGGTACCACTGCAGCCCTTCTACCCCTTCAGTTGTAACTCGAGACACATCCCTTCATTCCCAAGTCTGAGCTTTGGGAGGGGTCCTGCTGCCAGCAGCTTTCTCGGCTACAGCTAGGACAAGGCCGGGCCCAGGGAAGCCTCCTGGGGTTGCTCCGGCTGGGTGCACTTTCTGGCTGGAACTGAATGATGGGACAGCATCCCCGTCCTTAGTGAGGGGTCAGCTCATGACAGCACGTGCCTGTGGGAAAATGCAACCTGCTGGGCAGCCCTTGCAGAGCAGGAAGTGGAGGTGCCCCGTCAGTTCCCCACGCGGGAAGCCTGGCTACCTCACCCTGGACCCGGCTCACCGGTCTCCCCTCTGAGCCTCCTGAAGCCTCCCTGGCGAGGACTTCCTCTGAGCTCTGTTGGAGTTTAAACCTTTTTCAGCACTCCTTCCACCCTTTCCTGGCAAATTGAGGGGCATTTGTGTATCCCCAGCACCGGCGTGTCCTCACACTTTGAGGGGGTTCAGTTGAACCTGCTGAAGGAACAAGTGAACCAACGTTGAATGAATTCTCTGGATCAACGTGTCATCTGTCCATGTTTCCAAGGCCACTCACCTGGGAACATCCCTTCTCAGGAACAGATGTGCCTCTCAGAGGGCAGACGGTTCTGGTGACAGGGACATCCTTAGAGAGCTGAGAATGCCGGCTGTCATCGAGGCAAGTTACCAGATAAAAATGAAGCTGTCCACAGCTCCTCTAACAGCATAGTCACCATGGGCAACGCTCACGTGTAGGAGCTGGTGACTCGGTGGCCCCCGGGAACCAGAACTTGCTCACGGAGGGCTGGCCCTGGATGGGACCGGTGACATGGTTCCTCTGCTGACCAGAGCAGCCAGTGAGGGTGCCTCTCAGCACGGCCATTGTCTGCGAGGACTCTGAGCCCACCTAACAGCCTGCAGCCCCTCCCACTCACCCATCCCTGGGCTGAGGGTGAGCCAGGGACGTGGCTTTGGCCTGAAGGGGCCCTGGCAAGGTGTGTCGGTGCAAGTTCCAGCCCTGAGAGAAGATGCCAGTGTGGCTGCCTCCGTGGGAGGAGGAAACAGCGGCAGCAGAGTGGGGAAGGGAGCCAGGAGAGGGAGGGAGGCCGGCAGCTGGACTCAGAGCTGCAGGGAAGCCACCCACTCTCGTCTCTCCTCAGCCTTCATTTGAGAGCTGCCCGGGGAGATGCGATTTCCTTGAAATTCCCACAAGCCATGGAGCAGCTTTCTGGGGCGTGGGGACCAGGTAAAGAGGGTCAGGTAGGACAGGAGGACGGTGCAGCAGCCCTAAAGGGGGCTTCATGAGGCATACAGGTGAGGCACACGCGCCATCTGAGAAGCGTGCAAGCTCCACCTTTTGGTGGCAGAACCTGTAGTCAATAAAGTCCCTTGGTGGGGGTGGGGGTTGCGTTGTGACCTGTGGGAGGGCAGGCCCCAGCTGGCTGGGCCCAGGACAGAGGCCTGTGAGGGACGCGCCCGAGCACAGGTGCTAAGGAGCCACAGGCTTCACGCTCTACCGAAACTATCAAGAGCCCCTTACCTTTCCTGGTGTGTCACTTATGACCATATGACTTGTGCTCTCCCACCCCACTGCGGCTTCTTCACCAAACCCCATGTTCTCTGGGGGTCAGTGAGGCGACCAGGGCAAACTCGAGGCTGAGGGGACAGTGCGGAGGAGGTAGCAGGCCGCTGGGGCCACCCTCTAAATGGCTTCTTGGACCGGCGAGGCTGAGCAGAGCTGCTATGGGGTGGGCCCCTGGGGCCGACGCAGCCCGAGGAGCGACGGCCAGGCCTCCAGGGGCGCCTTCAGAGCTGGGCATCCTCTGCGATCCTGTCCTGCTTTTCAGCGTGTGTCAGGCTCCATTCTAAGTGCTTTAAAGGTGTCTCCTTATTTAAGCCTCAGCACACCCTACAAAGTAAGTGCACTATCATTACCCCCCATTTGCAGATAAACTGAGGCGCCAGAGGTTAAGGAACCAGACTAAACTGGAGAGGAAGGGAGGGGCAGAGCTGGGTGTGGGCCTGGGTCGGCCTCGTCCTGCTGCCCGTGCGGAGGTGCGGGTGGCGCCCCGTCTGGCTGTGCACCGCGCGGCACCACGGCGAGAGGCCAGGCCCGCATCTCGCCCCCACCCCCAACCCCCGCCGGCAACACGTCAAGCTATGTTCTCAGTTTCACATTAGTCTTTTATTATAATCGTACTGAATGGGATCACTTTTCCAAGAGGATAAGTCAGTTCTTAAATCAATATGAGTTACAGCATCATGATGAATGAGAAAAAAGCGATATAAATGGCAAGTCGGAGTATTCCATAAATCAAAGGAATTGTGCCATTGTGAGAAAAATTATGATGACAACTTTTACGTCAAAGTGGTCTCAAGCCTGTTTATGGGAACTTTGTGTTTTTTAACACTATAAAAGGAGAGCTTTTGAAAGAACACTGAGGAAGCGGTTTTGGCCTGAGAGAAGGAAGCCTTGCTCGCCAGTTGTGGCCCTCAGTTCCTCCTGCCGCTTCTCCCGCCCCACGGCCTCGCTCTGGACACAGGGTCCCAGTCGGGGCACGTCTGCTGGGGAGCGGGGTGGCGCGGCCGCGTGCTGGGCTCCACAGGACAGCCACTCCCAGCGGGGGAGTAAGCCCTCCATCCGCTCTTGTTCTGTGATGACCCCCGGGGGCCGCTTCTTAAAGAAACAATAAAATAGAAATAAAAAGAATAAATCTGGGTCAACTCTGGCTGGTTGTCATTAGGAGACATGAGAACTGTCACAGAATTTTGTAATTGTTTGTCATCTCATCCTTGTTAATGGTGAACAATCAAACCCCTGAAGGAACGATGAGAAGATTCAACTGTTATATGCAGGGCAGACAAATCACAGGAGGTCTTGGTTTATTGTTAGTCCCATTCATCCCAAAGTGACAGTTTTTCTTACCAGATTGCAGTTACCGGTGAACATTAGCAGGAGGTCATCTTTGGAAGAATCCATGTAATTAAATGTTTCAAGTGTTATATGACCCCTTGGCATACACGCAAGGTAAGGCAAAGTCATAATGATTTTCTTTCTCTAATCTGTACTCTCATATGTAATGTACACATATAATTTAACTCAAATTTCCAAACTGATCTGAGAGGAATGCATGAACACAGGGACATGTATAAAAAAAGGAGATAAAGAAAATTAAGCTTTATGTATATAAAATTTAACTGCTAATAATCAAAACACGAGAGGTTCCAATGATTACATTTTTTAAAGAAAAACAAAAAGGTTTCATATATTCAGCATTTAAAAAATGTGCCATTAAACATAAGTACCTGATAGAGTAATAAAAAGCAACATAAGTTCTTTAATAGCACTGTAACTAATAAAAATGCAAACAATGCTCAATTACGAAAAATAAAAACATGTCACTTAAAAAAGGCAAGACAATAGTTCAATTCTCATACCCCATAAGCCCATGGGGACTGAGGGTGGCTATGGCTGCGCCTATGTCCCTTTTGGGTGTCTCCCCTCTGAGGAGTGAGCGGCGTGTTGGGGGCCACAGAAGCAACACCTCTGAGCGACCCATTGGTTCCAGGTGGCACCAACTTGGAAGCACAGAATGGAGGACCCACCCCTGCGGGCTGGCAGGGCTGGGAGGTCCCAGGGGCCATTGAGCAGGGAACTGTCCTAGAGTGTGTTGGGGTGGGGGGTGTCTGGTGGCTATCATGGGGCCAGTGACACGCGGCTGTCATGACTCTAGCTCTTAGGGCAAAGAAATGCTGCCAGTGAGCAGACAACTGTGGCTCAGCCACCAGGAGATGGCCAGTTCCACGGCCCTGTCCAGTCTCTGCCCTGACGGCCTGGCGAGGACAGCGCCCCACTTCCAGAACTGAAGGCGCCAACGCCTTCCCAAGCCAGGTCCTTTGAGAGAAAGTAATGACAATGGTGCAGTTGCAAGGCCACTCACTTAGGGCACCTTGGGAGCTTAAGAAGTATCATCAAGGGGTCATACACTTGTCTGTAACGTACTGTGAGCCACCCAAACAGGGTGCTGAGCCGACCCCCTGGTGCCAGGAGCACATCTCAGCAAAAGCGGGTCTATCACTCACCTCACACGCTGATGCGTTAGGGGGAGGTCCCTTGCTAGAGCCTGAGAACAAACTGCAGAGCTAGTCAGAAGCCCCACTCGAGTCCTCAGCATTTTCTTGGAGGAGTGGGGAGTCCTGTCATTATCACATTTGTCTATAGGGAATTCACGGTTAGCCGTGGCAGGGACGTAAACACTGTCTGTTTGCCTGTTGCCACAAAAGCTCCCACCGCCCAGAGGTCCTGCCACCCTCAGAGGAGAAGCCCAAAGAACCAGTCAGCCCAGGGCTAGGTCTGCTTAAAGTGACTTTGTTTTCTGGCATCAAAGATTCTAAAAGGTGAAATACGATTGTTTGAGGAGGGGCAGTGATAACCAGAGTGATCTGGCCTGAGGCTGGGAAATGCATTCTTTAACAAATGAAAAAAATCAAAACCCCCTCACACCTAAAGGAGTCCTAAGTTTAGAGCGCTTTTCTAAGGATCGCTGTAATGTTGAGAGGTCAGTAACGGTTTTTTCCCAGCCCTGGAATCCACCAGGCCTTTCCGTGGCACTTGGCTCTGCCATGTGATTTCCCAAGGGAGAAGCGAAATCGGCTGTCACGCAGATTTCCAGAGAGAGTGTGTTCTTGATACCCATTTCCCTGTGCCTGGTGCTCTGCGGGAGGAAAGATTTGAAACCAACTCTTCTTCCTTCTTCTAGATATAACTGATGGCACTGCCACGTCTTCTTAGTTAGGGAGCAGAGGACAGAGGAAAAGTCATTCTAACTGTGGTTTGGTCTTTTCTGACGGTGTGAACCCGGGTGCTAACGCAACTCTCCCTCAGAGAGAGAGTGGGGCAGGGGTTCGGTGGGGGCCTGAAGAGCCTGTCTGCACTTTGGCAGCCATCAGTCTGTGTCCTTGGGGCGTTCGCTCTTCTCTAAAGGGTTCTTCTGTGGGCTGGTCCAGTGCCGCGTGCATGCTGGGAAAGAAGCGCTGGTTTCAGAGGGGTCGCTGCAGCGGGGAGCCTTGCCTGGGCCCTGCGGCTGCTGGGGGTGGATGTCCTGGGCACTGCGGTCAGATGTCCAGGGGGCTCACGATGGTGAAGCCAGAGTCCTTGCTGTGGCTGCTGCTGTCGTCGTCGGGGCTGGAGCTGGGGTTGCTGGAGGAAGCCGAGGTCGGGCCCATCAGCGGGTCTGAGAACACGAGTGGGGAGCGGGCCGGGGTCTCGGCTTTCCCAGCTGTGCCTCTGAGGGCGCGAAGGGGCTGGGCCTGGCTGGAGAAGGATGCCCTGGCGCTGCCTCCCTCATCTTCTTTGGAAACCAGGATGAAGTCATCTGCGCTCCCTCTGTCTGTGTGCCCGGGTGCTTCTGGAGAGGCCTGTGAAGTACAGTCAGAAGTACAGGGGGTGAGAGGAGACACCAGGAAAATGAGAGAGCTGGGTGGAGGCCCGGACAGCGCGGAGCGCTACCCGAAACACTGGGCCACGCCCTTCCACGATCGGCTGGCTTGCAAGCCCAGGTGCTTCCCAGTGGCAGAGGGCCAGCCTCTTGGAAGCTGAACGCTGGTTTCCCAGGGGAACAAAGAAAACCTCCTGCTGATAAGTTGTTGAGAGATGCAGGCTCTGGGATGAGCCAGGTGGCTGCAGACAGAATCCCTATCAGCTTCAGGTGGCACCCTGCCACGTAACTCCCTCATCCTCCTGGGGCTTTAATTCTCTCTTCTGTGAAATGGGGATAGGACAGCGTCTTGGTCCTAGTGTGTGGCCACCATGTAGAAGGATGATGTGGCAGATGTGAATTGCACAGGACTGGCTCCCTAATGTGAACCCCATGTCCGGAGCAAGTTTACTACTTGCTCCGAGGGGAGCGTGGGGAGGGCCCATGCACTGCATCTCTCCCAGACCTCATGGCTGGCTCATCCTGGGTGTGCACTTGGGGGACCCCCGCGAGGGTGGCGGTTAACTGGCAGGTTCTCCAATCATGGAAGCCGGGAGTAATAATTGCGAAGCACACGCCAAAAAGCATAGAGATGGAATTGCTTTACGATTATTTCCCTCTGTCTAAGCAATTATAACTAGTGCTTAGTTTTTGAATTAAAGATGACATTTGTGAACATCAGCAAAGGTTCTGAGTTACGGCGAGAGGTGCTCCTGACTCCCCTGGGGCGGAAAAGCAGGGCCACAGTGTAAGCAAAGCTGCGCCGATGCCAGCCTGGCAGAAGCAGCACCTGCCCCGGTGCTGACGCAAGCCTCTGGGCCCACAGCTGCTCTCCCCTTGCCTGCCTACTGTCTCCAGTGTGGGTGGGGACGGGTGCAGGGGTCTGAAGCCTAATGAGATATACAGAGCCCCTTGGCTGGAAGGGCTCCCCTTGGGTCCTCCAGCCTCAAGAATGGTATGGCCAAGGCCACCTGTGAGCTGTGGGCAGAGCCTGGGACACGTAGCTGGCAACACCTCTAAGGGAAATCTGGGCCTGACTGACATGTCCCTTTCTGAATCTCATGTTCTCCTTGGTGACATGGGGGTGGGTGTGTGGCTAAATCATGGCCCAGGGGCTTCCCCCAACACTTTGTCACCTGTACGACTGAACAGAAACAGAATTTGCCTTTAAGATTTGAGTGTTGAGACAACAGGCCTTGAGGTTCTCGATCCAACACATTACTTTTTACAAATCTGAAGAGACCATGCCCAGCACAGGGCACTCTGGTAGGAGCAGGCATCGTCACAAGTGGCACTAGGGCAGTTTGGTAGGGAAAGGCTGTCCTCTTTCACCCCCATTACTGCCCCTTTGTACGGTGTACCCGATCGGGGCCGTGATGCCTTTGGGGAGGCTGGGAGGGGACATCTGAGTGGGGCTTGTCCTCCTATACGTATGCACGTGGGGTGCACGTAAGGCTATATGGGACCTCAGCTTGATCTCCTACCTCCAAAGTGGGGACGCTTTGCTCATATGACTGTTGACCTGCACTGTAAACTGAAAACCTGTGCTGGTTAACAGGTAGGTTCTTACAAACATGAAAACCGGGAATAACAACTGCAAAGTATAATGAAGTTTTAAAGTTAGCAAATTCATTAGTGTATTTGAGTTTTTCTTTTTGTAGTATTTTTACACCTTCAACAAAAAGAACCATGCTAAATTTTTCAATAAAATTGTCAATTAAAAATGGATGGGGCTCAAGAATATTTGAATAAAGAAATGATTATTGAAAATTTAAACATCTGCGCAGGGAAGGGAGAATTAAGAGGGACTAATTAAGTTAAACTTGCAATTTTAATGTATTCATGGGGCTAAAAAATGTGACTCAAAAGGCTCCATGAAAACTTCCTTTTAATGCTCAATGACCTTGACCACACAGGGTTTGCTCTTTTTGAAGAGCACTCGTAAAACTAAAAACACCTCCCATTCTAAAAAATCATTTTGCTTTTTTAAAAATCATAAAAAATAATTTGCAAGCATCTGGATGCTAGGTTTTGAGAAAGTGAATTAGATGAGATTTTGCTAATGTTCATTTTTCAAAATGAAACTTTGTAGGCCATTTAAAAAGGCCTACAGGGATTTTTAGCCCCATCAGATAACACACAGCGACGCTGGACGCTGCGGGGCAGGCAGGAAGCGCGCTGCACTGGGACACGGGTCTGCAAACAACATCTGGCGAGCTGCCTGCTTCTGTGGCCTTCATTTCCTCGCCGGTAAAGCAAGCAGGTAGGATGAAGTACATGAGGGATTTCTGGGATCTTTTCTAACTGGAAAATTCCGTGATCTTCTGCTGGAATAAATTACACACAAAGCTGAGGGCTGCGAGCAGGGGTCTGCACACAGGGCCCATGGGCCAAATCCAGCTTGCATGGCGCTCAAGCTGCAAGTGGCTCATACATGTTTAAAGAGTTGTAAAAACAAACAAACCAACAAACAAATGAATACGCCAGCACGCCAAATACAAAAACAAACAGATGACAGAGACTTGCTTTTGCATCTGCCTGCAAATCCTAAAATGCTTATTATCTGACCCTTTACAAGAAAAGCTTGCTGACCTCTCTGCCTTCAAGGATGGGCATTAATGAGAAGTCCTTCCCATCGAAGGCAAAAAAGGTTCCAGCCAAGTGAACTACGCCCAAGAGAGCATTAGGAAAGCGCAGACAGTACTTCTGTGCTGAAGGGGAAAGAGGCATCAGCTGGAGCTGACGACCAATGACAGAGGCAGAGATCTGGCTTTCACACCACACAGTGGGACTGGCAGGAGGTTCAGGCCAAAGCTGCTGCGTAAAGGTGTGTAGGCCATGCACTGCACAGCTCCGGGGGACACTAGTCTAACTACCGTCATGGCGGACGGGCCTGCCCTAGGGCACGGGAGTACACCGGCTGCACAGTGACGCGGAGCAACCCTGGCTCAGGGCACTGCGGTGTTACATGGTTGAACCTTATATGAGGAAATCTAAAGTAACCTGAATAGGATTTTTGTTATTCATAACTTTGAAGAACTTACGGGACTGCGCCCCCATCAATGTGACGCTGCCCATTAGAGCTCATGTACCTGCTTGGTGGCCCCAGGCACTGGGTCGCCCTGGCCCTGGCCACCGGAGCAGTAGTGGTCATCCGAGATGGTGATCTGCTCATTCTCCTCGGCTTCCAGTTGGCTCTGGTTGAAACGCAGGGAACCTTTTAGAATGTCTTTGATCTATTTTCAGAGGAGGAAATAAATGAAAAAGATCAATGAGTTTGTTTTTAAATGCTAGCTAAATCTCTAAAACATTTAAACTAGACTTGCCATTGACAATTTTTTTATAGTACAGATATCAATATATTACCGTAAGAAAGAAGTAACAGAGAAAAATTCAACTCTATCAAAGCCACTGATTTACTAATGACCAAGAAAAATTTAAGAGTCTCAGTGGCCAGGTTCTCACAGGGCCAGATGTGGGTGTCACGTCCTCAGCAGTTCAGTTAAGGCAGGAGGCACCATTTGCCTGCAGGGCCAGCCCATGAATGGCCTCAGGCTCTTAAAGTGCTGCACCCCAGCTGAGCTGTTAGTAACACAGGCAGACACTTGAGAGCAGCATGCTGTTTTCATTGACGTTTCTGTTCCATGGAGCCCTTAGAAGGTCAAAAGGGTCATTGCAATGTGGCCCTTGAGGGTCTGAGGCCTGCTGTAGATAGTGTTTATGACTTGTACTCCAAGGACGTTGGTATTTATGGTTATGATTGAGCATGACGCTGGACCGCACTATACCAGCTTTGGGTGAGGAACAAACAGAATGGGTTTGGTAAGAGGAAGGCACAAGGGTGGGAAACAGAAAACCAGTTTGGACTGCAGGCTAGTCAGACATTATCATCAGAAACAGCAAGGGGCACAAGGAGGCGGAGATTCAGGAGGGATTCTGTCTGAGGGGCTGAGGGAAAGGAGGCATCAGCGGGAGCCGACGACCAATGCCCTGGGTGCCCTCCCCAACAGGCACTGACGGGGGGCTGGTGGGACACAAGGGCAGCTCAATGGACATACCTGTTTCAATCCTGCCAGGGAAACCAGAATTTGATCTTCTTTTTCCAGATTTTCTTGTAATATCACATCTTGAATGTTTACTGAAAATAGAAGCATGACATTTTATAACTAATGCTCTGAGTATAACTTATCTGCTGCTGCACCTACCTTAACCTTGGGAATTTTTCTGCCAAATTTCATAGCAACTATTCCACCAAGAATGCTCTGCCAAACTGCAGATGGGGCAGGTGCTGGGTCCAGCAGTGCGCAGCACTGAGCTTGCTGGGCACGGCCTTCCCACCAGCATCACACAAATGTGTTCCTATAATGACAGATGTGTCTTTACTCCCACAGAGAGACCAGGCAACTCTTGCTGGCCTACCACGTGGTGAACAGCCTCTGGCCTTCTGCCAACCTCCTGGAGGAAGGGGTTCAGCCTGGGCCTCCTGCACTGCCGCATAGTTCAGTGATGTTAATTCACCTCACTCTCTAAAGACCAGTTCCTGTCAGGTGACTGAAATTAATAAAGACACCGTCTTTAAGGGTTTATACAGTGAAGCATGTTGTTAGTTCAACAAAATGGTGGAAATAAAAGGACAAACTCATGGCACTGCCGACTGCCATCAAGCAACGATGCCTACGGAGTCAGCCCGACACGGCCCAGGGTCTTCCCAGGACCTGGTCCTCAACCTGAGAAATCCTGCTGCCCTGAGCTGGGCTGAAGGCTCTGCCCAGCCGGCTCTGCCCATCGGGCGCAGCATCGCACCAAGCTGCCCACTGACAGGTTAGACACGCCGCGGTCCTCAGCCTTCCTCCGCCCGCCTGTGGACGCACACAGCCCTGCTGGGGCCCGGCTTCCTGAGGCAGGGTTCCCAGGGCAGCTCAGAGGGAGGAGCAAAAGCCCTCTCCCCTGGGGCTGTGCGCCAGGCGTGTGTGCAGGGCAACGAAAACACACTTTAAAAATCACTTCAGTAAACAGGCTCACCCTCCATTTCACCTCTGCTTTCTTATTTTTCTGTAGCCTTAAAAAAAATGCCCCGTTTAGAAGGTCTTACAGGCCACATTTTTAGTCCTGCACTTGTGAAACTGTCTCATTCTCTCCTCTGGCCTCCTTAATCCCACGTGTGACCCCAGCAGTCACCAGAGCTGTTTATCACTCCCCGCCTGCTTTCTGCCACCCGTGGTCGAGGCAGAGCCAACACACTGCTCCTGCGGACTGGAGGCCCTGTCCCCACATCCATGCGGACTGGCTCCTCCCCTTCGCTCGTTCGCTGCTCCAGGGCTGCCTCCTCAGAGCAGCCTTCCTGCCGTAGCCCAAGTCACCCTCTAGTCTTTACTGAATCACCTCTGTTACTTTATTGACAATAAGTGCTTGTCACCATCTGACATTATCATGTGCATTTGCCGGTTTATTTCTTGTCCATCTCCCCCAGTAAGACATAAGCTTCCAGCCTTTAAAATAATGCCTGGTGCATTTCAAGTACACAATGAGTACTGACTGAATGAATGAACAAACATGGAAAAACACTCCTGGAATTTGCATTTAAAAACACTGCTATTCTAAATATTTCCAAACAGCATTTCCAGTAAGGGGCAAGGCAAGGACTGATACCATCAATTATGAGTCCAGCTTGAAAATTTCTTAGGATCTTCACTAAGAGTAAGTCTGTACATCGTGTTGACAAGTCCTCTTACAGACTGAGCAGAAAAACAGCAGCTTTTATTTATTCAGCAAATGTGACTGTCGTTTCTGACTAACAGAAAGGCCTGCTCCAAAACAAGCAAGCAAGATGAATGGGAAAGGAATAATAGATATAATTAGAGAGGGAATGTTTTCGGTTTCCATAAAAGCCTGTAACAATTTGTTCTCTCTCAATAAAATACACACACACACACACACACTCCACTCAACAAGTCATTAATGACAACCAACTGCAGAAAATTAACAAGAAACAGTTCTGCAGGTCTTTTAGAGGACTGAGAAAGGTTACTTCTGCTTTTATGATGCTGTGGTTTAAGGCAGAGCTCTGAGGGTCTGCGGGCAGCCGGGAGCAGCAGGGCGCCCAGTAGCGGAGTAGTTTGGTAAAGCGCTGGGCCCTGACTGGTTTTCCGGTGCCTGCTGTGTCAGCAAGGCCAGCAGACAGACAGGTCCCAGACCCTGGAAGGAAGCTCAGCCAACGGATGCAGGAGTACTAAGAAGCATGGGAGCTTTCCTAGGTCCAAGGCACGAAAGGAGAGGAGGCCTCTGGAGGCTGTACCCAGAGAACCAAGGGGCCAGGGAAAGAGGAAATCTGAAAAAACCACGTGTGATGTCTCCTGCCTGCCCCCTGGATAGTCTGCTGTGGAAGCCAAAGTGTTTGGCTAAGTTGCCTCGCTCCTGCCCCCAGTGTAATGGTGGGGCGGGGCCCACAGCCAGCAGCAAGGACCAAAGGCATTTAGGGTTATAGGCTACAGGGGTGTAGGGCAGGAAGTGGCTCCAGCAGGGGCAAAGGCCCAGAAACATGCAGGCACAGAGCTCTCCTTAGAGGCCAGCAAGGACCCAGACGCACTCAAAGGCCTTTCTCAAACACCATCCCAGAATCTTGACACCATCCAGGCAAGGGAAAGAGACAGAGTGGAGAAGCTCTGTGGCATTTGTTCAGATGGGATGGTTAACCTGTGAGAAAATGAGTAGCTTTTAATTGGCAAGTCTGAGCCTTGGACTGCCATCGGTGGGAAGGGAACTTCAGAACAAGATTTCTACACACCTGAGTTGAGGTATATAGATTTATTATTCCACCACAGAAGTGTCAGTGTCTGCCTGAGCTCTTACAAAACCAAACTGGCCATGTTGCCTAAAAACCCCATGAAGCAAGAAGCCCTAGCCTTCCTCCCTTGGATGCCCTGTCTTGCTGTGAGCCTGCCAGGAGACGGTGGCGATGCTTGCAGGAGTGGGCTGAAACGGGGAGAGGCGGTGAAGACGGAAGGTATGAGTGACTGGGAAGATGGAACAAGGCTTGTCTTTCTTCACAGGCCTAAGTGGGAATAATGCTCCCTGTTCTAAAGGCCTCTCTCCCCATGTGCTCCCTTGATAAGGGCACGAGCAGCCAACAAGCCTAGATCCTCACGCCTGCACTGTCTCTTGGGTCTAATGAGGTGGCAGAACTGCTGGTGGGCTACCCCACCTCCAGCCTCCACCCCTTCCTCACCAACATGTCCCAGATTTTGTTCAGGGCAGCACTGTTCGCACCCTCCCTTTCAGCCAACGTTGGTTATGTGACAGAGCTTCGGTCAATGAGGTGTAAGAGAAGTCACTGTATAAAGTTACTAGAAAGGTCCTCATAAGGGACTGACTCAGTTTGCACCTTTGGGGCCTGTACTCTCCCTACTTTTGCCGCCTGAGGTGCTGGCAGGAGCTCTACAAGTCATCCTGCATACCCGCAGATGAGGATCGCAGCTTCAGGGCTGCGGGTGGGAAGCCAGAAGGAGCCCGGGGCACTGGGCCCTCTTGGAGCTGTTATGTCTGCTGGGAACGCCTGCCTCTGGGCTGCTTTCATTTAAGGAAAAAAAAAAAAACAAAAACAAAACCCTATGGATTAGTTTATTTACTGTTTTGTTTTTTGCATTTACTTATTAGCATCTATTTTAGTTTCAAGGTACTACAAACCAGGTGGTTTAAAACAAGAAAAATTTATTCACAAATGTATTTGTGGAGGCTGTAAGTCCAAAGTCAAGGTGTTGGCTCTTCCCAGCTTTTGGAGGTTGTCAACAGTCCTTGCTTTCCTTGGCTTCGTCTACATCATCACATGGGATTCTTCCTGCATGTCTAGGCCCAAATTCCCCTCTTTATAGAAGGACGCCTGTCATCGGATTAGGGCCTACCCAAATCCAGTATGACCTCATCTCAACTTGATTACATCTATAAAGACTACTTCCAAGTAAGGTCACGTTCACAGGTTCCAGGTGGGCATAAATTTGGCAGTAACACTACTGGACACAGTACAGCAGCAGAACTGCCTGTCACACAGGATGAAAACCATCCAGTTCCTCCAATGAATGGGGACCTAGGCAGCCCCACCAGTCCTCTCCTGCATATAGGCTGTCATTCAGGCTCCAGGCTGCTCTGGCCTATGTGCCATGGGCTGGCAAAGAGCACGCTGGGGGCGAGGCAGCGGTTCGGGGGTGGGGCAGGTGGAGGGCCCAGAGCCTTGGTATCAGCAGCACTGTACCCTCAGCCAGAAATTTTTGGATGAGGTCAAAGATCACCTTTTAGAATCTGATGAAAACCAGGACTGTTTCCCCTGAAAACTCATATACACATAAAATGTTCACCTAATTTTAAGGAAAAACCTCTGCTATAATCAACTAAGCTGACTAGTTTCACTGTAATAAATCTGGAGTATAGAAATCCAAATTAAAATAAAAGGGCATCTTCAGGGGCTGTTGAGTGTCTTGAACACAAGAATTTTCACATTACTAAGTGCTGTCCATGTAAACCCTTTGCCTAACCAGTTCCACTACATGGCGATATAAGGTAGCATTTATGACCATTCTGTTAATATATAACACTCAGTAACAAATTTGCTTTAAGTACATTGCATTTGCATATGAAAATAGAACATAATGATGCCATTCCAGGCTTTAAAATGTTAAAGGCAGAAATGTGAAATGTTTAAATTTCCAACATAATGCACATTTGTCTTTATAGAAAAAAGCAAAATAAATTATGATACAAAGACTCTTTTTGTTTCTGTGTAGCAGGAAGATTATGTTCTTTATAAACTCCTTTTATTTAAATATTATATATTATAAATGTTGGAGCATTGAGACTAAAGGGGAAAGTCTCACAAAACCATTTCTGTGAAAACTACACAAAAATCTCATCAACATAATTCCATGGTGACTCCACTATTTTTAATGAAATGTCACTGCCACAAAAATAGATCTCTGACTTTAAGGGTAACAGGAATGGCGCACAAACTATGTTTTCAATTTCTTAAACACCTTATTTTTCTTCAAAACTAGAATAAAAGTGTTTTCATTTAAGTGACAGGTATGGAAGGTTAACATGAACCTCTATTCATTAGGAGGGGTAGTGGAAAGGTGACAAAAACAGAACCAA